CAGCGGGCCCCAGGCTACACCCGGCTCCGGCGGGATTCCTGCCACATCCACATCCAGCAGGATCCCAGTCCCGGCCACATCCTCGTCCAGCTGGGGCCCTGGCATGTCTAGCTCCAAGGAAGCGTCCCTGATGTCTGCCCGTAGCTCCCGGCAGGCGTCTGGGCTGCCCACGTGCACGGGTGTCACCCCCATACCCACCGCTGGGTCTAACGGGCTGTGCAAAAGGTCCGGGTGCGGAGCAGCGCCTGCAGCCGCTCCCTGTGGGGCTGAGGATGCTCCGGCTTCATCCAGCTGCAGCTCTGGAGGGGGCTCAGGCTCTGCCATCAGGTCCCTGGAAAGGAGAGGACACGTGAACCAGAGCAATGAGTGTAACAGGTCCCAGCCCTTCTTCTCCGCCCTGCGAGATACAGGTGCTCCACAGCAGATGGAGCTGGGGGTGCTCTCGCTGTGGCCCCACTGCAGTGACCGTCCCCATGTCACCCAGGGGCTGTGCAAACCGGCAAGGCTGCGCCTGCATGCTGACACCTTCCGCCCGAACTGTCGGCTTTGGCATGGGCTGAAACAAGGGAAAAAAACCCTCTTAAAGCGACTGACTGCCACGGAGAAAGAGCGAGGGATGCAAACCTGGCCCCAAAACCGAGAGTTACACCGGTGCCGATGGGAACTGCCACCGTGTTGACTGGTGTGACCAGCACGGGCACTCCCAGTAAAACTTGCCAAGATTTTCGCAATTAGCATAACCTCACGGCAAGGGAATGCGCTGCTAAAGCGCAGGCAGGCTCTGAGATGACTGAGATGGAGTAAAGCACCGCACGCGCAGCACCCGAGCAAGCGGCAGTTTCTGCAGCAGGAGCCCAGCGAGCTCCGCTTTGCAGAGTCATCCGATCCCGTCATTATCCCCAGCCCCGGTACCTGCGGCTGCCACCACCAAATACTCCGTCTCACGTTCACCCGGGCGCTATTTGGGGTAGGATGGAGAGGACAACCCTCGGGGACGAGCCGGGGCTTTTCCTGCCGCTTCCAGGAGCCGGGGCTGGTGGGTTTGGTGGGAGGATGCTCTCACCTCCCGACCACGCCGCTGAGCTCATGTCTAGTCATCCCCCAAGGAATGAGCGCAGGCTGGCATTCGCAGGCAGCCCTCGGCTCGCAGCAACGGCTTTAAGGAAAGAACTGATTTTCACCGATACTTTCTCTCCTAATAAGGTAGTTTTCAGCAGCGATGACACATCACAGCCTCGGACTCAACGGCCCATGGGCCGGAGAGGGGGCAGCGCCTGGAAAGGTGGGGAAAGGGCTCCGCTTCATTTTTCCTTTCCCTCCTCCGGTGCCAGCGCTTATTTTTCAAAAGTTCTTGGCTCTGCTTTGCATCGGCGGGGCAGGAGGGGAGGACGGCCGTCCCACGCTCACAGCAGGGT